TATAAGAGTAAGAGCTAGACTTTGATAGGCCTGAGCTAATGGCCAAGCAGTTTAAATAATATAAGCGTCTGTATGTTTATTTTATGAGTGGGATCCAGGACTGGCGGGGCTTGGCAGGAGCTAGAGAGAAATTCTCCAGCTACAAATGGTGCCCAATGGGTTGGCAAGAGTTTCCACCTAAAACCTGAGTAAAAAGATTCTAAAATGGAGCTAAAAACTGCTCCTAGTTGTCTCTTTCAAGTTAGACGAAGCCTGCGTGTTTGAGCTACTATCTACCTTGGCGGATTCCTGGCGTGTGCCCTTCACCTGCAGTATGGCTGCACATTTAAGCTGTGTGGTGGATTTAGCCTTTGCTAGTACAAAATAAAAAGAGGTTTCTGGGCTACATGCTGCTTTGATGGAAGCATAGACCCACTATTTCTGAGAGTTGATGGCTCCCAGAGCTGGCAGAAAACGTACCACCGCCATGTTGCCAAGCTGAAGTGGGCGGAGCCAGCAGCCACAGCACCGTTTCAGTCTTAGAATGGTGCAGTTTAAAGCAATAGGTTCACAATACGACTGATTCAGATGGAATAGATTACAATGTATGTAAAAATGTACGTAGGCTTGAAAGAGAGAGAAAAAGGAATATATACAGTTATATAAACAAATAGATAGTTTTTAAAAATAAAGTCTTTAAAACAACAGTACAGGTAATAAGCCACATAAAGATGGCTACCACACAGAGAATCTGGATTATGTTATCTTTGATATTCGTAACTGAAGAAAAACATTAGATTATAAAAGCTGTTGAGTTATGCCAAAATGTATACTTTAAAGGTACCTTGACTTCAAAATTTAGATATAAGGATATGTTGCTTTGGAAAGGAGGCTCTGCTTTTGTTTCCACAGAAAGCCAGAGGCTATGGATTTGTGCCAGATTAAGATACATCAGGTTTCACCAGCCAAGACCCCCTGAAAGGTCTCTGATGACACCATGGCCCAGATGATCCAACATCCAGAACCGTTTCAAGGCAACTGGCTCAGACGATACACCCTCACAGACTACTCCATAGTCCTATAATTTTCTTTGTGTCCCCATAAGATACAGCACCCGCCCCCCCCCAGCAGAAAGTAGTAAGAGAAGCTACGCCCAAATTCCCAAATATACCATGCTGGCTTTGGAGATGGAATTGGCTCATTCCTTCTCTAAACCCAAACATATTCCTAAAATAAAAGGTTAAAAGATATTTTTTTCCCATATCAGAAGAGCCCTCTGCTGTGGGACAGAGAAAAACCAATATTTTTATTTAAAACAAGTTGGTTATAAATGCAATATCTCTCTCTCTCTCTCTCTCTCTCTCTCTCTCTCTCTCTCTCTCTCTCTTTTGAGACAGGGTTTCTCTGTGTAGTTTTGCGCCTTTCCTGGAACTCACTTGGTAGACCAGGCTGGCCTTAAACTCACAGAGATCAGCCTGCTGCTGCCTCCTGAGTGCTGGGATTAAAGGCATGCGCCACCACCACCCAGCTGCAATCTCCTTCTAAAGAAGAAAAGGGGAGGGGCTGGAGAGATGGTTCAGTGGTTAAGAGCACTGGCTGATCTTCCTAAAGGTCCTGAATTCAATTTCCAGCAACCACATGGTGGCTCACAACCATCTATAATGAGATCTGGTGCCCTCTTCTGACCTGCAGGGACACATGTAGGCAGAACACTGTATACATAATAAATAAATAAATCTTTTAAAAAAAAACAAGAAAAGGGAATATGATATAGATATATAGGATATAGATATGATAGGATAAAAGGGTAGATTAATGAACCTACTATTAAAGAACAACTTGTTTAAAATGTTTTACATTTGGTATAGATTTTAGTTTATGTTTAAAATGTTTTACATTGGTATAGATTTTAGTTTATTGATACAAGTTTAAACTTAATTTTGTTATACTGTATATATATTTCTATTCTCATTTGAGGTATTATGTTTATGTAACTCATTTAGATTAGAATGGATAATTAAATAGATTAATAATTAGTCATATATGATAATCATACTTATAGCCATGTTAGTTAAGTCTTCCAAGTATACATAGATATATTTCAGATAGATAAGAAATCTTCAAATACTTCAAAGACCTACAGAATATGGTATTTAAAATATTTTTAAAAATTTAGACTTTCTGGACAGTGAGACATGTCTGCTCCTGGCAACAATGGATTTACTTCAGAGAGGAGGATGAACATCGAAGACACTCCATATGGAGTTTATCTTCACCTTGGCAAAAATAGGCATTTGGGCAAGAAACTTTTCTTGCCTGGACTGCTTGATCAACTGGACATACAGGACCCATAGAAAGATGACTACTGAACTTTGCTTGACAAAATGGTCCTTCAGGTTCCTACTTCTCAGAGAAAACTGCCAGACATTCTACAAAACACTGAGAAAAATGACCAAGAGACTCTAACTCTGTGGGCTGAAGACAGATGCCCCAACTTTACAAAGGAACATGAGGTGACTGTCCAGGCTGTCAGCTGTCTCTGTCTACCCTGCAAGACTCCCAAAAGTTGCTTACATCCTTCTCCCATTTCTCAGGTAATATTGTATCCTTCTGAGGTCTTTGATGTACTTGAAGATAGATAGTTACAATTTTCCTTAGTTATGATAAAAGATAAGTTAGATATGAAACCTTAGACGCACAAATATAAGATAGATAGGATATCTTCTTTAATATTGTAACTGTAATTCTTGCTTGATAATTGTTTTGTTATATGTAATTTTACTTTGTTAAAGTTAAAACCTTCCTTTTTGAAAAAGAAGAAAAGGGGAAGTGCTGTGGATATTGCTCTGTATAAATAAAACACTGATTGGCCAGTAGCCAGACAGGAAGTATAGGTGGGACTAACAGAGGAGAATTGAGGGAACAGGAAGGCAGAGGGGAGACTGCCTGCACCCACCACCGGGACAAGAAAGATGTAAGGTACCAGTAAGCCACAAGCCACGTGGCGAAGTATAGATTAATAGAAATGGGCTAAATATAAGAGTAAGAGCTAGACTTTGATAGGCCTGAGCTAATGGCCAAGCAGTTTAAATAATATAAGCG